ATATATATGTGACAAAATTTCCCTAGATTCTTTTTTTTTACTTTGTTTATGAAGAAAATTCCCAGTCTTATATCTGAATGCACTACAATAGTGTTACCAGACAGACTCAAATCTCGCTAAATTCAAGATGGCCACGACTCTCTTCCTTTTTTCTATACGAGGTGTGTGGCTTTACGGTCGGTGAAGAATTCGTAGCATTGATTCTGAGTGTTTGGAGAGAAACCGAATAAATTTATCATTATGTGCTGAATGTTTTTATACTTATATGGACTCAGAAATGGCTGGAGAAGTTTCATGTCACTGGGAATGTCAGCTTTCTACCTTAGAATTAGATCACCTGAGGACTGATCTGCGCTGACTCACTAAAGTGTTTATCAGTCATTCATCATTAATTCTAAACAAAAGGCCAGGTATTTTTCTATAATGCAAAGATAATAATGATAATAATAATGATGATGATGATAATAATAATGATGATGATATAATAATGATAATAATAATGATGATTATAAAAATAATGATGATAATGATAATAATGATGATGATACCAATGATAACAGTAGTAATAATAGTGATAATTATAACAGTACTAATGATGATTATAATCATGGTAATAATAGTAATAACGATAATGATGATGACGCTATGGATGATGATAGAGAGGGAGATGGTGATAAAGATAATGGTGATGGTGATGATGATGATAATGAAGAAGATGAAGATGATAATGATTTTGATGGTAATGATGGTGATGATGATAATAATAGTAACATTAATAACAATAATAATGATGATAATAATAATAATAATAATAATAATAATGATTATGATAATGGTGATGATGATTATCATAATAATAATGATAATAACGGTAATAGCAATAGTAATAATATGAATAACTAATTGTAGCATTAAATATAATAATAATAATAATGATGATAATAATAATGATAATAATAATAATGATAATAATGTAACGATAACAGCAATAATAATTAGAAAGAAATGATAATGATGAAAATAACAATAGCATAACGACATCAGTAATAATGATAATAACGATAGTGTTAATAACAACAATAATAATACCAAGTACAATAACAACGGACACTACTGTTTTTAATAGTAACGGCAGAAATAACACTAATAATCACATTATGATAAAAAAATAACGAGGAAAACAATATTTAAGAAACTATTAAAATCCATCAATAGACCAAAGTATATACACGAAAAATATCTTAACATCTGAGGTATTCATTCGTTTTGTCTCGAACTTGTGATCGATTCCCACAGCATAAGCTGTTTTTGTGGTGTTACGATCGGTGTAGAATTCATAACATGGATTCCGAGTGTTTGGAGAGAAACGGAGTAAATTTATCAATTATGGGTTTAATGTGTTTATACTTATATGGATTTAGAATTGACTGGAGAAGTTTCATGTCAGAAATATAGAGCTGAAATGTGTTATAGTGAAGGCTTAATGGTGACTGGAACACATTTCTCAAGAAAGAGTGGTGGATATCGGTAACTACATGATGTGGCGTATTTTTCTGATGACGGAATACTGTTACACTATATTTGGTAAGTAGTAAAAGAGTCAGCGTTAATACAAATAATAAAATAATAAAAAGAATAATAATGCTAAAGATGTAAATTATCCACTTAAAGTAGTAGAAGCCTTGTTTTAATAAGGTATAGTTTCAGTTTCACGCAGCCATATGGTACAAATTAAATTGCCTGTAGTGGATAGAGCTGTAGAAAATAAGACAATATAAGGCATATATGGAATTTCTTTCGCAAGTTTACTGTAATATTTTGAAATAGATTATCAGGAAAATTAAATAAGTCATAAAGAAGTGGGAAAACTACACTCGCTGATATATGAAACAGTCTGCACAGCCAAAGAATAATATCAGAAATAAAGAAAATGTGTTGCGAAATCCACAGTCAGTCGGAGGTCAGTGCTAGTTTTCACTCGTCGCTGGATCGGGTGGGGCTTCGGTGGCAAAGCTATCGGGTTAGGGAAGTTTTTTTTGCTCATAAGGCGACGTTTGTGGATTTCCCAGGATTGGCTGGAGCTATAGAGATAGTCTAAGAGAGGTGCGGTGACTTCTTAGACAGTTATCAATTTTTTGAAATTTCTTATCATTTGCAATGGTAAGTAACAAGATTTTGACGCATATTACTGTGAGAATAACTGAAACAATTATTATTAATTGCCAGGTTAATTAGGTGTGTGAAAAAAACGCAACAGTGATGTTAATGATAATAATAAACCCAGCAGTCACAGTAGTAATAGAAGTGATTTGATGGTGTTATCATTATAACATTAGAATTTATGATAATGACGGTAATATAGCAACGATAACAGTAGAAGTGTAGCAGTAGTTTTAATAATAACAACGGTAATACAAATATTATATAATAATAACCTAACCTAACCTAACGAGAAGTACAGAGATGATGTTACAGCGGCAGATAACTATATATTCGAAAAAAAAACATATTGTGGAAGATTTTTCTAATGCATACTAATGAACACTTATCATAATAACATCAACCCCCCTGTCACATATACCACAGAATGAGATCTTTATTTACATTGCTTTTGGCTTAACTGAGTGTCACAGTGACAGCGATGATAAGGAAGTCGTGTTCATTTGCATCCTAAATGTCTTCAAGATCCTAGTGAGCTCACAAGACAAAACACACACACACATGTTCCCAAAAATACACATTGGACACAGATGCACACCGCACACCAGCTCACACGCATAATCACATCCTTAAGCACTTATAGAAGAAGCAAATCAACCCATACAACAAAAGCTAGCAGATAAAGACTTTGCTGCATATGTAGGAAAGCAGACAAAGACATGGTCATGAGCACAAGGAAGACACGTGGCAGATAAATATTAGATTTTCCCTCTCGCCGCCTCACATGGTCACCACGTGGTCCGGAGGCAGTGTAAACACACGTCTGCGAGTCATAATACTTCCCCTTCTGCCGTCTACTCTCTGCAGTCTACTGAGTTTTTATTATCATTATTATTTTTTACCTCCTGACCCTTCACTTTTTGTTATACCTGGTTTGAGCTATTGCATGCAGTATGTACAGTATATTCACACACACACACACACACACACACAGTCGTATGACATATGTATAGATAGATAGATATAGATATAGATATAAATATAGATATATTTTAGGATAAGTTGCGTCATATCCCTCACTCGTCCATGTCACTGCGAGTGTCAACGGGCCTGACACTTGCGAAACGAGCTCAGCGAACTCTCCTGTCCCTCGTACTGGCGACGCTCCGTGCATTTTGCAGAATAAACGGCTCCGAGTGACTCACGACAGTCAACGAATGCCACTAGCTAAGCCAGTCGTGCCACGCGAGTCATACCGGTCATTCCTCGGGTCTCTTGCTCGCTATTATGAGGTAGCGAGTGTAACCCCCTTCCCCCTCCTCCCCTTCCCACCCCCCTTTCCCCCTTTCCCCTCCCTTCATCCCCTTCCTCGTCGGGCACTGGGTCAAAGGCCACGTCCACTTCAGACTTCTTGGAGTTTCTTGCGTGGCGAGTGGGGGGGAGGGGGGAGGGGAGGGGAAGGGGGGAGAGGAGAGGAAGATAACAGGTGGTTTTGAGCTAAGTTCATGCCTTCGCGGTAGGCGGTTCACACTTCACGTTTTACGCACACGAGCGCACGCAGGCAGACACACACACACACACACACACACACACACACACACACACACACACACACACACACACACACACACACACACACACACACACACCAACACACAAACACACACACGCACATTTTTTTACTCACATAAATCTAACCAAAGTTCATCATTTCCAATTCACGCGTGCGATTTATACGCGATATAAATTGCACAGTACAAAAGAAAAAAAAATCTTGAGAGATATTTGCGCGGAGGTAAACATTTCTCTTGCGATCATGATGCAATAAAATGTAAATAAATAAAATGCACCTCAAATAGCAGACATTTTTGATATGAGAGAGAAAAAAAAGAAACTGATTTGAGACAATGCATGAATAGATGAATAAATAAATAGATAAATAAATAAATAAATAAATAAAGTCGAAGACTAAGCACGTGAATACACATGAAAAAATATAAAGAAGAAAGAGGAGATAAGGACGAAGAAATGAAAAGAGAAAGGGAACAAGAGGCACAAAGGCGAAGATGGGGGATGCAAGAATGTGAGAAAAGAATATAAATAAACTGAAGGATAATACAAAAGTGAAAGCGTGAATGAAAAAGGAAAAAGACGGAACACACGGGAATAGAAAGAAGAAATAGGGTAACAGACAACAGGAAAATCAAGCGATAACAGACAGCAAAAAAAAAAAGATAATAAAAACAAAAGAAAAGAAAAATAATAATAAGCAATAACCTTTTGAAAAATCAAACAACTTGCTCCCAAGTCGATCGGATTCAATAAGAGATGAAACGATAGTCAAGGCAGCAATCAAGAGAGAGAGAGAGAGAGAGAGAGAGAGAGAGAGAGAGAGAGAGAGAGAGAGAGAAGAGAAAGAAAGAAAGAAAGAAAGAAATCGCTGGTTAACAAAAGGTTCCCCATCTCCGCTTCTCCATCTAGATCAAGAATGCCAATGCCTTTAGCGTAGTAGGAGAGGCGGCGCGGGCATTCAATATGACTGGTCCGTGCAATAGGTGAGTGTGGACGTACTTACTGTTGTTGAAGAGTGCGTGAATTGGATTAATCGTGGATATTTATAAGTACGTGAAATTCCTAGGGATGTTTAAAACTGATATTTAATGTGCTCTTTCATAGTTTGAGATAAAAGTGTCGAAATGAGAGGGCAGCGGAGTTCGTATAATTCTGTGTTGAGATCTCAGCCGAGAGAGTCAGCACTTGTCACTCAGTACTGCCGAGGTCAGACTACCCATCTTCCTACATCTAGCTACAGTTTTTCTCCATGACGCAAGTCCACTTACCTTTTGGAAACCGGTTACCGTAGCTTGAAGATACTCCACGGGCATTCACAACCGTAATCCTGGTCCGATAGTTCAACCAAGTGCTACTTTCACAACCAAACCCCGAAATGCGGAGAGTAAGGCTCTCTCCCCAGAGCATGCCTCTCCACGGCACTCCTCGGCTAAGCATTGAACACCTAACTGCACTTCACGGCACTTCAGAGGCACCTCGAAACGGGCCTTCTCCCATAATAGTGCTGGCGAGGAGGGCGGGGCCAAGCCTCGCTCCTCCTTCTCGAAGCTCCTCCCCCTTATATGACGTCATGGAGGTCATTAAAGACGATATGAGTTTTAAAGCACCAAACTATTAAAAAAAGTTAGATTCGTGAGATAAAAATAATATTAAGTTTTATAATAATTATGCGATTAACGACTTCACACTAGATTTGATAAACGAGTGAAGGTTGTGCTTTTATAGAAAAAATAAGTGAAATTTATGTATGTATATGTGTGTGTGTGTCTGTGTTATATTAATGATGATAATGATATAGACACTGAGGCAGATAGATAGACTAACAAAGAGAGAGAGAGAGAGAGAGAGAGAGAGAGAGAGAGAGAGAGAGAGAGAGAGAGAGAGAAAGAAAGAAAGAAAGAAAGAAATCGCTGGTTAACAAAAGGTTCCCCATCTCCGCTTCTCCATCTAGATCAAGAATGCCAATGCCTTTAGCGTAGTAGGAGAGGCGGCGCGGGCATTCAATATGACTGGTCCGTGCAATAGGTGAGTGTGGACGTACTTACTGTTGTTGAAGAGTGAGTGAATTGGATTAATCGTGGATATTTATAAGTACGTGAAATTCCTAGGGATGTTTAAAACTGATATTTAATGTGCTCTTTCATAGTTTGAGATAAAAGTGTCGAAATGAGAGGGCAGCGGAGTTCGTATAATTCTGTGTTGAGATCTCAGCCGAGAGAGTCAGCACTTGTCACTCAGTACTGCCGAGGTCAGACTACCCATCTTCCTACATCTAGCTACAGTTTTTCTCCATGACGCAAGTCCACTTACCTTTTGGAAACCGGTTACCGTAGCTTGAAGATACTCCACGGGCATTCACAACCGTAATCCTGGTCCGATAGTTCAACCAAGTGCTACTTTCACAACCAAACCCCGAAATGCGGAGAGTAAGGCTCTCTCCCCAGAGCATGCCTCTCCACGGCACTCCTCGGCTAAGCATTGAACACCTAACTGCACTTCACGGCACTTCAGAGGCACCTCGAAACGGGCCTTCTCCCATAATAGTGCTGGCGAGGAGGGCGGGGCCAAGCCTCGCTCCTCCTTCTCGAAGCTCCTCCCCCTTATATGACGTCATGGAGGTCATTAAAGAGTTTTAAAGCACCAAACTATTAAAAAAAGTTAGATTCGTGAGATAAAAATAATATTAAGTTTTATAATAATTATGCGATTAACGACTTCACACTAGATTTGATAAACGAGTGAAGGTTGTGCTTTTATAGAAAAAATAAGTGAAATTTATGTATGTATATGTGTGTGTGTGTCTGTGTTATATTAATGATGATAATGATATAGACACTGAGGCAGATAGATAGACTAACAAATAGATAAGCTGGTAAATAAGTAGATAGATAGGCAATATAATTGAGTGAAACAGAGCGAAAGAACACATGATCAGGATACAGATAAAAAGGAATATATAAACACAATTCCAAACTGAAGATAATACTATAATACAAACAACAATGACATTGCACCCCACCCCCACCTCTCAAAAAAATGTTTTCGACACGGAAAAGAATCAGAAAAAAAAAATGACCACGGAATAAATCATCAAACAAACTGGCGAAGGATTTTCCCAGTGAAGTGTTCCAAGGAGCGAAACGGGTCGAGTTACGTACGGCACGTGACGGTACAACACAATTGGGATCCAGACATGGAATGAATGACGGGAGGGAGTGTGAATGGCGCACGAGTTTTCGGGAATTAGCTTCGTAAAAGTGGCCTTGCGTTGTGGGGTTTACTCTCGTAGGATGAAAGTTAAAGAAAAAGGGACGTCGATAAGAAAAAAAAAATGTATTAATTATGATTAAAAGGCGAATACTTATGTACGTGTGTGTGAACATCAGTAATGTAACATTTCGTGAACAAAGAACGAACTGAAAACGATTTTACTCGTATTTCATTTCATCCACTTTCGTAAAGAGTACAAAGACAGAAAGCAAGACGTTTGTATATTTGCAGAAGAAAAGAAAAACGAGGAAACGCAAGAAAAGAAATCAAACAGGAACTCATCGTCAACAAACATACAAACGCACGAGCCATTGAAATCGAAGAGGCCAGTCTTCCATCTCTTGTAAAAATGTGGTCATCGTCTTTTCTTATTTTTCCTCCATTTCCTGTTGTCAGTCGGTGTGAAGATGAGTATGTGATTAAGAAGTATTGATTAAGAAGTATTAAACAAGAGAAATCATAGCGCATCTAAGGAGCGAAGGTATTAAACCATAACGAAAAAAAAAAAACAGATCCATATGGTAAGCATAAAAAGTAACGTGGTCATCAGTATCACGCAGTAAATCTGTCATGCAGTTGCGGTGGTAATGTGATATTCTCAAAATGAAAGTCGTCATCTCGGTAATAGATTTCATGGGCGGTTTTATATCATCGCGTGAATAAGATCTATGAATGTATGTTTATACAGGAAAATAAGTTCTGCTCTGATGTGCCCTTTCCCCGCTCTATAAAATCACTGTTCAGTTTGTTTTATGATCCTGATAAATAAGTACGGAAGAGAGAGAGGGGGAGAAACAGAATCAAGAAGAGTGGAGAAAAGAGACGGAAAAGAAATACAAAAAGTAAAGATAAAAGAAGAACCAATCAAAAAAAGATGCAGAGAAACGTTGAGTGAGAGGCTGGAGAAGTAGGTCTGAACGACCATCTCTTCAGGCGGTTTGAAGTGCGTGGGCCAAGGCTCAAACGCCATCCGCACAGAAAGATATTAAGCCAAGGTATGAATGGTGGGGGAGAAGCTGCATATCTTCAGAAAGCTGGGGTTTCCTCGTACTGGATAAGAGCAGAGAGGGAGAAATTGTCTTAGTGTTATAGAGATAAATGGTGTGTTTTTTTATATGACATGGATATACTTAGAGTTTTAAAGGCTATACTTATACTGAACACAACCAAGGTCGCTCACCCACTCCTCCCCAAGGTCTTAAGGGATAATACTGACGAGAACTTGATCAAAGGGTTGTTCACTGCACTGCCTTGCCTTCAGACCTGACCCAATGCGAGAAGAATTGACCTTATGCGGGAGAGATCAAATGCACAATGCGGGTTCGCCGTATCATGGTATAACCCGCACGACCATTAAGATGACTTATTTTACTCCGAGTACATTAGAATTGATTGGTAGGAGCATGCAGATCACACGTGCACACGTTCGGCGGCAAGATTATAAAATATGAAAGTAAATGAAATATGGAAAGAAGACTATAATATACGTAGAAAGTAGTAGTAGAGTGATAATTTAACAGGTCACTTTATCAGAAGTATCTTAACCTGAATAATTTCGCTGAGTAATGATTAAACGAAAAATAAAAAATCTATCTCCAACGCCTGCTTAACAAAATCAGAAGCAAGCATTGTCCATGGGAAGTTGTAAATACTCGTCGATAAGAAATACCGACACGAACTTGATCTTCCGCGCGAGTGCCAGCAGACGTTTCCACGCTGAGGGTGGAGCGCGCTTGCGAATCTCGAACGGAAAACACATTCTTGTATCATTGAAATATTCATGAGCGTAATTTAGTCTAACAAACTGTGTCCTTTTTAGATATGTGTGTGTGTGTGTTTATGTATATGTTTATGTATAACGTAAAATTCGCAAAGTGTCAGGGGATTGTTATAAAACTAGGATTGATTAAATATTGTATTTATACAAAAATGTGAATATTCCCCCACCCTTCAAACGGAGACAAGATGAAAAATAAAGAACATAAGTGCATGCAGTTGCACTCACTTGTAAAATCTAACGCATGGATGACTTTTTCAGATAAAACACGTGGGAAAACACTCAAGACCAGTAAAAACCGGGAGAAAAACGACCTAACAAGACGATGTCACTTCAAAGGCTTCCCCGAAAGCGAAGAATAGTGGCGCGTCCACGTTCTCGTGTTGACGCAGGACGCATTTCTGTGAGCCCGCGGTCAACGCAAATACATTTATCACCTGCGCAAAGGCCGACTTTATCACGGCGGTAAATCTCACGCCCCTTTCACAGCCTCCGACGACGACCAGCCTCAAATCCTTTCCCCGGCGTCTCTAAGATCACGACCTCCCTCTCGCGGCTTCCAGAACGAGTCAAAGGAAAGGGTTTAAGAAGCTTCAAGGTGTATTTTCCTTTTGTCTCTTCCTTTTTGTCTCTGGCTTCTTTGCCTCTCGTTATCCCACCAAGGACCCGAGAGGAGGTGTTTGCTCTGAAAATAAGGACATCTGTCGTCGCTTGGGGATTGTTATCAGCGAGGTAATTGCAGCGGTGGTTGGTGGGCTGCTTGCGAAAGGGCGGTTTAACCTCCTGCGTCGTGGCTGGGGAATCGCTTAGCACCTTGGGTTATAATGGGGCTATTTGAGGCCCTGTTTACAGTCGCATGCTTCAGCGTTTGTGTGCATCATGTGCTTATGATAACACCTGCTTGTTATGTTTGACTCCTGTGCGAAATTAAGAAACCATCGAGTATGCCGCGGAAGATAAACGTATACCAGGACCGAGCCATTTCAGTTGCTGTGTCGGGGAAGATGAGTGAGAAACCAGCGGCTACAATGTGTGTGTGTGTGTGTGTGTGTGTGTGTGTGTGTGTGTGTGTGTGTGTGTGTGTGTGTGTGTGTGTGTGTGTGTGTGTGTGTGTTTGTATATTTAATAGTGGTGTCAAATTATATATATATATATATATATATATATATATATATATATATGTATACATGTGTATGTATATATGTATATATATCATATATATACATACATACACCCCCAACAACAAACTAGAGACGTCATTAGGAGGGGTGGGGGGAAAGGGGCTCTGCTTACCCTCGTCCAGGTTTCACAAGGAACATTCCAGTATTAACCATTTCTTTATGCGGTTAAGGTAGCTTATATCACACACACACTTTACAGATCTACATGTTCGGATTTGTCTTTTG